TTAGCATTGGAATCAGCAGAGGGGATCCAGTTAATGCCTGGAAGTGAAACAATTGGATCGCTCAATTGGAAAGTCCTTCGTAACGGGTAGGGTTCTGAAGTTGGTTATCAACGGCTAGTATTCTCACATCATCGCAGTCATCTTCCAAGTTTCGCTACTTGACTCAAACCTGTTTCTACTTTATATAAATTTGCCTGTCTCAATATATTCATGTCCTTTGTGAATCTCTATGCTGATGATAAAACAGCATAGGGGTGATCCCCCAAAACGGTACAGGACTGATCCCCCAAAACAGTATAGGGGTGATCCCTCAAAACAGTATAGGGGTGATCCCCCAAAACAGTACAGGAGTGATCCCTCAAAACAGTATAGGGGTGATCCCCCAAAACAGTACAGGAGTGATCCCCCAAAACAGTATAGGGGTGATCCCTCAAAACAGTATAGGGGTGATCCCTCAAAACAGCATAGGGGTGATCCCCCAAAACAGTACAGGAGTGATCCCTCAAAACAGTATAGGGGTGATCCCTCAAACAGCATAGGGGTGATCCCCCAAAACATATAGGGAGATCCCCCAAAACATTATAGGGATGATCCCTCAAAACAGTATAGGGGTGATCCCCCAAAACAGCATAGGGGTGATCCCCCAAAACAGTACAGGAGTGATCCCCCAAAACAGTATAGGGGTGATCCCCCAAAACAGCATAGGGGTGTTCCCTCAAAACAGCATAGGGGTGATCCCCCAAAACAGTACAGGAGTGATCCTCCAAAACAGCATAGGGGTGATCCCCCAAAAGAGTATAGGGGTGCATCTTCAAAACACTAGATGACTAGAGACTGGAAACTGGCCTCGGTCTAACAGCTGAGTAGGGGCTGGAGGAAAACTGGCTGGTTAGATTCAATACCTCGAAAAACAAACTAGTGAAAACCTCTGAGCGCCCAGAACTTACACCAACCGCGATGAATGAAGGTTCCCCCAGGGATACACCTCTAAAGAAGCTAGGGAAATGATAAGTTCCCTGAACCGCTCTAGGAAGTACCTGACACCTTCTGCTATCCTCTGCCTTTGATAATGCCAAGTCAAGACCAGAATGGTGTACCGCTGTTGTATATAGGCAGAAGATTTCCAATCTTCACTTTCCAGTTACGATAGATTCCAAAAGCATTTCTGCGTCGTTGTGTGTGGTGAATTATTTTCCATCCAACAACTCCTTTCTAACAGACGCGAACCACCTTCATACCCTTCCTATTCCATTGGTGAGATGTAAGTTCCACTCGAGCAGCTTCATCCCCACGAACCGCTGCTTTGTGGAACCGACTCCCAAGAGGATGCTTTCACGATTCTATTTGTTTGTCCGTCTTCCTAAAAACCATTCTTTTTTACATCTCACTTTCCTTCTTTCTTTCTTTCATATCTTTCTTTCTTTTCTTCTCAGTTACATTCTCCCTTTCTTTCTTTCTTTCACTCTTTCCTTCTCTCTTTCCCTCTCTCTTTCCTTCTCCCTTTCTTTCTCTCTTTCCGTCTCTCTTTCCATTTCACTTTGCTTCTTTCTTTCCTTCTCCCTTCCTTCCTTTCTTTCTTTCATTCATTCTTTCTTTCTTTCCCTCTCACTTTCCTTCTTTCTTTCCTTCTCACTTTCCTTCTCTCTTTCCTTCTCTCTTTCTTTCTTTCCTTCTCTCTTTCCCCCTCCTCTTTCCTTCTTTCTTTCCTTCTTCACTTTTCCTTCTCTCTTTCCTTCTTTTTTTTTTCTTTCTTTTTCTTTCCTTCTTCTGTCTTTCCCCCTCACTTTCTTTCTTTATTTCCTTCTCTCTTTCTTTCTTTCTTTCTTTCTTTCTTTCCTTCCTTCTCTCTTTCCCTCTCACTTTCCTTATCTCTTTCCATCTCACTTTGCTTCTCTCTTTCTTTCTCTCTTTCTTTCTCTCTCTCTTTCTTTCTCTCTTTCTTTCCTTCTCTCTTTCTTTCTTTCTTTCTTTCTTTCTCTTTCCCTCTTACTTTCCTTCATTCTTTCCTTCTCACTTTATTTCTCTCTTTCCTTCTCTCTCTTTCTTTCTTTCTTTCTCTCTTTCTCTCTCACTTTCCTTCTTTCTTTTCTTCTCTCTTTCCTTCTTTCTTTCTTTCTTTCTTTTTTCCTTCTCTCTTTCCCTCTCATTTTCCTTCTTTCTTTCCATCTCACTTTACTTCTCTTTTTCCTTCTCTCTTTCTTTTTTCCCTTCTCTCTTTCCCTCTCACTTTCCTTCATTCTTTCCATATCTCTTTCCTTCTCATTTTCTTTCTTTCTTTCTTTCTGTCATTCTCTCTCTTTCCTTCTCTCTTTCCCTCTCACTTTCCTTCTTTCTTTCCTTCTCACATTCCTTATCTCTTTCCTTCTCTCTTTCTTTCTTTCCTTCTTTCTTTCCCTGTCACTTTCCTTCTTTCTTTCCTTCTCACTTTCCTTCTCTCTTTCTTTCTTTCCTTCTCTCTTTCCCTGTCACTTTCCTTCTTTCTTTCCTTCTCACTTTCCTTCTCTCTTTCCTTCTCTCTTTCTTTCTTTCTTTCTTTCTTTCCTTCTGTCTTTCCCCCTCACTTTCCTTCTTTATTTCCTTCTCTCTTTCTTTCTTTCTTTCTTTCTTTCTTTCTTTCTTTCTTTCTTTCTTTCTGTCTCTCTTTTCCTCTCACTTTCTTTCTTTCTTTCTTTCCTTCCTTCTCTCTTTCTTTCTCTCTTTCTTTCCTTCTCTCTTTCTTTCTTTCTTTCTTTCTCTTTCCCTCTCACTATCCTTCATTCTTTCCTTCTCACTTTCTTTCTCTCTTTCCTTCTCTCTTTCTTTCTTTCTTTCTTTCTCTCTCACTTTCCCTCTTTCTTTCCTTCTCTCTTTCCTTCTTTCTTTCTTTCTTTCTTTCTTTCCTTCTCTCTTTCCCTCTCATTTTCCTTCTTTCTTTCCATCTCACTTTACTTCTCTTTTTCCTTCTCTCTTTCTTTTTTCCCTTCTCTTTTTCCCTCTCACTTTCCTTCATTCTTTCCATCTCTCTTTCCTTCTCATTTTCTTTCTTTCTTTCTTTCTTTCTTTCTGTCATTCGCTCTCTTTCCATCTCTCTTTCCCTCTCACTTTCCTTCTTTCTTTCCTTCTCACATTCCTTATCTCTTTCCTTCTCTCTTTCTTTCTTTCCTTCTTTCTTTCCCTGTCACTTTTCATTCTTTCTTTCCTTCTCACTTTCCTTCTTTATTTCCTTCTCTCTTTCTTTCTTTCTTTCTTTCTTTCTTTCTTTCTTTCCGTCTCTCTTTTCCTCTCACTTTCTTTCTTTCTTTCTTTCTTTCCTTCCTTCTCTCTTTCCCTCTCACTTTCCTTCTCTCTTTCCATCTCACTTTCCTTCTCTCTTTCTTTCTCTCTTTCTTTCGTTCTCTCTTTCTTTCTTTCTTTCTCTTTCCCTCTCACTATCCTTCATTCTTTCCTTCTCACTTTCTTTCTCTTTTCTTCTCTCTCTTTCTTTCTTTCTTTCTTTCTTTCTTTCTCTCTCACTTTCCCTCTTTCTTTCCTTCTCTCTTTCCTTCTTTCTTTCTTTCTTTCTTTCTTTCCTTCTCTCTTTCCCTCTCATTTTCCTTCTTTCTTTCCATCTCACTTTACTTCTCTTTTTCCTTCTCTCTTTTTTTTTCCCTTCTCTTTTTCCCTCTCACTTTTCTTCATTCTTTCCATCTCTCTTTCCTTCTCATTTTTTTCTTTTCTTTCTTTCTTTCTTTCTGTCATTCGCTCTCTTTCCTTCTCTCTTTCCCTCTCACTTTCCTTCTTTCTTTCCTTCTCACATTCCTTATCTCTTTCCTTCTCTCTTTCTTTCTTTCCTTCTTTCTTTCTCTCTTTCCTTCTTTCTTTCCTTCTCTCTTTCCTTCTCTATTTCTTTCTTTTTTTCTTTCCTTCTCTCTTTCCGTTTCACTTTCCTTTTTTCTTTACATCTCACGTTTCTCTCTTACTTTCAATTTCACTTTCTTTCTCTTTCTTCTCACTTTCATTCTTTCTTTCTCACTTTCCTTCTTTCTTTCCTTCTCACATTCCTTATCTCTTTCTTTCTCTCTTTCTTTCTTTCCTTCTTTCTTTCCCTGTCACTTTCCTTCTTTCTTTTCTTCTTACTTTCTTTTTCTCTTTACTTCTCTCTTTCTTGCTTTCTTTCCTTCTTACTTTCCTTCTCTCTTTCCTTCTTTCTTTCCTTCTTACTTTCCTTCTCTCTTTCCTTCTCTATTTCTTTCTTTCTTTCTTTCTTTCCTTCTCTCTTTCCGTTTCACTTTCCTTTTTTCTTTACATCTCACGTTTCTCTCTTACTTTCAATTTCACTTTCTTTCTCTTTCCTTCTCACTTTCATTCTTTCTTTCTCACTTTTCTTCCTTTCATTCTTTCTTTCTTTCTTTCTTTCCTTCTCCCCATCCTTCTTTACACCTTAAGTACATTCTTCCTTTTCCTTCCTTCCTTCCTTCCTTCCTTTAATCGGATACACCCTGTTCAAGACAACGTTTATCTTCCACACATATCCGCATAAGCTGTGCCTCTTACTCAGTAACCCTCTACCTCGAGTGACTCACGGGCCTTGTACAGGATTGAAAATCATTGAAAACTGTAATAATACTTACCAGACTAACTCGCTGACCTTTGCACCTCACCAAACATATAAATGACGCTTACAGAGATAGGGAAAAAATCGAAAGGATTAAAGGATTTATTTTTAAAGGATATATTTTAATCCGATATATTTTAATCCGATATATTTAGGACACCAGAGGAGTGGAAACTTGTGCTTCAATTGGACGCCACATTTTTTTTATTTTAAACATTGTGCAATAAATCTATCGGTGAGCGCTTTCGACAAAATTTAATAAAGAAAATTTGCTTTCCGGCAGGGTTCGAACCCGTGTAGGAGAATGATTTCTCAAACGCGTAGGTTGATAGACGTAATACACACTGATTAATATAAAAGTGGAGCGTTTATTTCAAAGATGAGCATCCACTAATTATAATGCTTGAAGTAATAACAAAGGAATATCTTAGAATATTATGGAAATACATCGGAACAGACGGAGATAGATAGATAGATAGATAGATAGATAGATAGATAGATAGATAGATAGATAGATAGATAGATAGATCTTGAATAAAACTAGATAGATAGATAGATAGATAGATAGATAGATAGATAGATAGATAGATCTTGAATAAAACGAGATAGATAGATAGATCTTGAATAAAACGAGATAGATAGATAGATAGATAGATAGATAGATAGATAGATAGAACTTGAATAAAACTAGATAGATAGATAGATAGATAGATAGATAGATAGATAGATCTTGACTAAAACGAGATATGAACCGACTGAGATAGATAGATAAATAGAGAGATGAATAGATGAATATGAACAGACTGAGATAGATAGATAGATAGATAGATAGATAGATAGATAGATAGATCTTGAATAAAACGAGATATAGATCTTGAATAAAACTAGATAGATAGATGATAGATAGATGATAGATGAATGATAGATATCTTGAATAAAACGAGATAGATAGATAGATAGATAGATCTTGAATAAAACGACATAAATAGATAGGTAGATAGATCTTGAGATAAAACTAGATAGATAGATAGATAGATAGATAGATAGATAGATAGATAGATAGATAGATAGATAGATAGATCTTGACTAAAACGAGATATGAACCGACTGAGATAGATAGAGAGATAGAGAGATAGATAGATAGATATGAACAGACTGAGATAGATAGATAGATAGATAGATAGATAGATAGATAGATAGATAGATAGATAGATAGATCTTGAATAAAACGAGATAGATAGATAGGTAGATAGATCTTGAATAAAACTAGATAGATAGATAGATAGATAGATAGATAGATAGATAGATAGATAGATCTTGAATAAAACGAGATAGATAGATAGATAGATAGATCTTGAATAAAACGACATAAATAGATAGGTAGATAGATCTTGAATAAAACTAGATAGATAGATAGATAGATAGATAGATAGATAGATAGATAGATCTTGAATAAAACGAGATAGATAGATCTTGAATAAAACGAGATAGATAGATAGATAGATAGATAGATAGATAGATAGATAGATAGATAGATAAAACTGAAATAGATTGATCGAGCTTTAAATCGAACAAATCTACAGTCCGCAATTCTTGTCATTTTCCGCCTCATTTCTCTCAACAAACATCCACAAGAATTCTCATCTTTTTTCTTTCTCCTAAATTCTTTCTTCCTCGCCCGATCTCCCCCTCTCTCTCTCTCTCTCTCTCTCTCTCTCTCTCTCTCTCTCTCTCTCTCTCTCTCTCCTGGGTGGCAGCACATACCCTCTGCCCCATCTAACGTTTCCCATCAAATCCGAATCCTGCCACAAGTCACTTACGGCCTTCATTGCGGCCCACAAACCAAATCCTATTATTTTTCTAGCGCGAAACAAAACATGCGGAGAATCTATCAGCGTTCGTATTCAATGTTTCGCTCCTAATCACGATTACCGACACGTAGTCTTTTTGTCCCCTGATGCCTGCCACCATATTAATCCCCACCCCTTATGCAGGTTCATTGCTGGTTTTCTTGCTGGCCTTAGAAGCCGTATTAATAGATTGGTTTCTGGTTGGATTCTAAGCGTGAAGCTAAATTTTCTCAGTATCTCTCGCATTATTCCCTGACAACTCACTAGGCTATAAACATTATAACAGGTTGATGCTAATTTTTAAAAGATTTCCTTGCCAAAATCCTTAATTCACATAAATTCTTTGCATTATTATTAAGTCATCAAAATGTTTTCTCTCACGATATGTCACGTTTCGGTTAAATTGTGTCAAAATATGTTGGAATCTTCAGCCAAAATATTTGGTTGAATATTCTAATATTTTATTAACAAAAGCCTATATTCCTATAGATTCACAGCGTCATTATTCAGCCGTGAAAGTATTTTTTTTTTAATTTTTACTATTATTATTATTATTATTATTATTATTATTATTATTCCATTTCCTTCAATTTCTGGTGTTCATTTCTTTCCGGGTCCCAACCAGAGACCTAAGTCAGATATGGCATCATGATATTTTCTGCTGAGGAATTAAAAAAAAAAATTAGATAAAGCCCTTCTTAAGGTGTGGGCTGTACTGGTGAGAACAATTTTTTTTTTTTTTTTGTATTTCTTTAAGGCATGGACAGCCAGGAACCCCTTCAATGACTCTATTGGAATCTTTTTTCCAGTCAATCGGAGGGCTCCAACTACAACAGGGATTGTTGATGTTCTCATGTGCCAAATTTTTAGGTCCTTGTATTTTGATAGCTTTTTGAAGATCTTCAATGATACATTGCACTCTGCAAGGACTTCCATATCAATAAAGTGGCACTTGTTTTTATGCAGCATCTAATAACGATGCCTGGGGGATTAGCTTTGATTGTTCTGACTGTGTGTATTATGGAGTCCCATAAAATTGTTACAGGTCCTATATCCGCAAATGGGTATGCATAGTGTTCATACCAATTATTATTATTATTATTATTATTATTATTATTATTTCCTTTGCTTTCTGGTGTATACTCATTTCTTTCCGGGTCCCAACCAGAGACCTAAGGTAAAAAATTGCCTCCAGAAATTTTCCACTGAACAATTGAAATAAAAACACATTTTACATAGATAAAGCCCTTCGTAAGTTATGGGCTGTACTCGTGAGACCATTTTTTTTTTCATTTCTTTAAGGCATGGATTTCCAGGAATCCCTTTAATTAGTCTCCTGTAACCTTTTCCAACCAATCCGAGGGCTCCAACTACAACAGACATTGTTGATGTTCTCATGCGCCAAATTTTTGAGATTTCGATTTCACGGTCCTTGTATTTTGATAGCTTTTTGAAGTTCTTCAAAGATACATTGCAATGTGCAGTCAATAAAGAGGCATTTGTTTTTGCATTTTCTTCTGGGAAAGATATGAATCTACCTCTTTTCCCTCCAGCTATGGGTTAATTAGTTAGTACAATCGAAAAGTATCTCCTGGCTTTTAAATAACATGCAAAAGGTTGATAAGTCTTAAAAATAAACAAATCAAAAGAATATGTGGTATTTTCGCATAATTATAAAACAATTTTTGTCTTCTCAATTCTCTTTTTTTAATTGTTTTCTGTTCTTAACAGTGTCTTTTTTTCTTATATTCTCTAACATTTGCGTCTTAGCGGCTTTATCGCCTTGCTTGGGGTGAATTGATTAAAAACAAAAATATAGGATTTTTAAAGTGTCATCTGTTTTCGTCAACCCGTCGAGATGCTAATATAAATAAAATCAGACTGATACGGGTGTCAAGAGGAACAGAAGCCTGGTTACAAAGGCCAGGCTTTCCTTGGTAAAAGCTTCTTAGCCTTCCGACAGACGCACCAATGCGATCGGGGACTTTGCTTTTAGAAGCGGTCTGACTAGAAACATCAACATTTTAAAGCAGGATTCCCAGGCGAAAAATAATGGAATCGAAAACTTATACGCGAAAGGAAAAACAGAAAAGAAGAAAAAAAAATGAGGAAAAGGCGGGAATGTGAAGAAAGAAAATAAAGAAAAATCTAAGGAGTGGTCAATAAATAATTGTAGATCAAGGGACAGGCGAAGAAGTGAGGGGGGACTAAGTACAATTATTTGTTTGTTTGTTTGTGTGTTTGTTTGGCGGCATATCGACTTCTTATGGGTCATTTAATACCGAAACAATTTTCGTGCGAGTATTAGTAATTTATTTTACAAAAATGTATTGCTGGTATTTTTTTTCTTGACAAAATTGTATTGCTGGTAATTTATATATAGATAGATATAGATATTTTTTGTGGTCAATATATATATATATATATATATATATATATATATATATATATATATATATATATTTTTTATAATATTTTTAAACAAAAATATTATAATACAAGCTCTACTGCTGTATGGAGAACTGTCTTCTTAAAAATAAAAACAAAATACGAAGGAACTCCGGATTATGCACCCAACGTGTTCTTTTCTATTTTTTTTGCATACCTGCATATATATATATATATATATATATATATATATATATGAAGAAATATAGTCTCAAGATATGCTATATTTATGGGATAAAGTATCAATATCAGAGATAGAGCGTGTGTAAATATGAAAGTGAATATAGAAGTCCACACTTAGAGGCGACAGTCTGTTTCATGGTAGATGCAATCGTCAGGCCACGAGTCGACTGTTGTAGTTCCGTGTGCGATGTTTAATAGGTGTCAATTATCAGTTATCTCCTGTTAATTTCCCTCTCCAAGTTCTCCACCGCCTTAAACGGGTATTGAACTCACATTCTTTGGGTCCAGTCACTGGATCTAACTAACGGTTTTATCCACTGAGCCATGTGTCCTATAATTAGCAATTGATATATAATAAATACTTTTCACACTCATCACATAGCTTTTTGTTTTCCCTTGTTTTATTAACCAACCTATCTATTTTAAATACAGGAAGCACAAGGAGTTCAGCCTGAAGTCGGACGTCCGGCTGATCGGCTGATCGGCTGATCGGTTGAACTCTCTGCCTTCATACGAGGAGGAACCCGAAGGAGGCTACGCTGAAGGGCGGATACTCTTTCGGGGAGGTAAACCGGCCCTGAACCCGTTTATACGGGTTCAAATGGGCTATTTTTTGGCCGAGCCTAATGGCTTGGGAATTGCCCACGTTAAAAAGGCCTTGTGCCACATGACACCCTCGTGGGAGGGTGACTGAATATCGTTCAGTCCGAAGTCGGGCGACCGGCTGACCGGCTGATCGGTTGGAATTTCTGCCTTCGGGCGGGGAGGAACCCGAACGAGGCTCCGCTGAAGGGCGGAGTCTCTTTCGGGGAGGTAAACCGACCCTGAACCCGTTTATACGGGTTCAATGGGCATATTTTTGGCCGAGCCCACGTGCTCGGAGATCCCACGTTAAACCGGCCTTGTGCCACATGATGCTCTCGTGGGGGGTGACTAAATACCGTTCAGTCTGAAGTGAAGTCCGTCAGGCGTCTGTCAGTCAGTCAGAGCGAATCAGTCAGTCGAGTCAGAGGCAGTCCGAAACAGAGTCGTGTTTAAACAATTACTACTAAACCTGATTGTTCGTACTAACACTTTCTACTTCTCTGTATATATTCCTGTTTGTAATATATCTGTGTTATTCCATACCTGTGTTCGAGTTCTTTATTGGCTCTACCTTGAACTATCACCGTGGTACAAGGAACCGGACCATAACAACCGGATAAAATTCTGACAGATGAAACGCGATACAAAATTGTTTTTTTCAATTTGTTATAATATTTATATAGTCAAATCGGCAGGGATTCTCTCCTGGCTGGAGGCAATTCGATGTCTATCCATACTGATGAGCTGTGATACAGCGAAACAGTCTGTCTGTGGATTGAGCATTATAGAGAAAAGAGAATTTTTCTGCTTTAATGGCTCGCTCTTCGTAAGAATAGAGCGCTATGGCGACCGGTATGGCGTTTATATAGCACGTATATAACGCGTTAAAAATTCCCATTCTCTGCCGTGCGCCGATAGCCTAGGGGTAACAGTCTCTGGCTGACATCAAATCGGCCGAGGTTCGATGCCGGCTTGATCTCTAGCTAGACTGATGAGCTGTGACACAGAGAAAGTCTCTCAGTGGATGACTCTCTATATATATATCTTTGAGAAAAAGATATGTAAATTATTATATATCAAAACAAATTTGGCGGGGGATAACTATGGCAAAGTGGAAAAGTTTTCGTTTAATCGATATCGTCCTTTAGGGCTTCATTGAACTAATTCATTCCCTCGGAGGAGAGGAAAAATTGAGAATTTATAAAATGTATATATATATATGTGTGTGTGTGTGTGTGTGTGTGTGTGTGTGTGTGTGTGTGTGTGGTTGTAGATTGCGTTTAAGTATGAAACAGACTGTCGCCGCTGGGTGTTGACCTCAATGTTCACTTTTATATTTACTTTCGATCTATCCCTGATATTGAAAACTATATATATATATATATATATATATATATATATATATATATATATATATATATATAAAGGCATGTTCATTCGATCTGGGGAAGAGGAAGAACTGAGAATTTATAAAA